TTAATACAACTGTTAATTTACACCATTATTAAAAAAGAACCACTAACTAAAGCATAGCAGTGATTACTGCTCGAGGAATAGCAAATCAAGAGGGACATAACGTAGTTTGTACTATTAACCTAGCTACTATGCGTCAAAAGTTGTAATACATTTTCCGAAGGTACTAAAACGTTAAAAAATAACGAAAATAATTTTTTTTTTCAAAAATTATAAGCGATCGTGAAAATTTTTTCAAGTAAAAGTTATGTGAAATTATACTGTCTATCCAACTAAAGAAAAAAAAATTATAGGTTTAAAAAAATAGCGAAATTAGTACTCACATCCGGTGTAACCGGAAGTACAAAAAGAATGATTTCATGTCGTAATAATCCGTTTTAGCGACCTAACTATGCATTCCAAATGGTTTTCTTATATCACCAATAATAAAGAAAAATATGGGGGTGAGCCACTTTTGAGGGACACCCGGTATAGGGAGTGTTTCAAAATTTACGATTTTCAGACACCTCCTGTATCTCACTATCCGAAAACGTAAAAACGGGTTCTAATAGATTTTTTCACGTTGAATCCAATGGTGCACGTAGAATTTTTCTAGTCATCACGGTTTTTGAGTTATAAAGAGTTAAGTATTTTAGAAGTTGAGTATTCGGTATTTGGGTTGTGTTTATAACTCAAAAACCGTGATGACTAGAAAAATTCTACGTGCACCATTGGATTCCACGTGAAAAAATCTATTAGAACCCGTTTTTACTTTTTTACTAACATTCCGGATAACCGAGATACAGGAGATGTCTGAAAATCGTAAATTTCAAACACTCCCTGTATATCAAAAACGAAGAGGGCTACGAAAATTTGGTTTGCGCCATTGTAAGTTTCACAAAAAAGTAGCTCAGGTTCGCGAAAACCGCAACTTTCTATCTTTTATAATAACTGAGATACCCTGCAAACCCATCGAAATTTGGACACCTTGTACACCTCCCAAACTAAGAGAAATTGCTCAGAGTTCAATGTCCTCATCATTGTGGACCTTGTATTCGATGCTAAAAACGTGTTTAAAAATCCATAGACAAACATTGTCACATTGACAGCTAGAAAAATTAATGACCCAATGTCACCAACTTGAACTGGTTCCATAAAATGTTACTAAAATGTCATTACAGCACCCGTTTGAGTACTGTTATAGCTTTCATTACCGTCGCGAATTACAAAATAGTATATTAAAAAACAAGTTTCGTAAGACACGTTTGAAATGTACGAATTCAAGTTGAAAAACGAGTGGCGAAGCCACGAGTTTTTTAATGAATCAGTGCTTTAAGTCTTATGAAACGTGTTTTTTATACTATTTTTTTGTAATTCGCGTTTTTATCCTTTTTTTTTCTAAAAATAAAATAAATTTTGACAATGTAGCGAAATAGGTATATAGCAGTTGGTAACACTTGAAAATAGAAATTTGAATTGACAATTAGAAACTGTCAAAACACAAAATGTATTCACCTAACAAAAATGTTTCATGTACACCTCCCAAAATAAGAGAAATTGCTCAGAGTTGAATGTCCTCATCATTGTGGACCTTGTATTCGATGCTAAGAAGGTGTTTAAACATCCATAGACAAAAATTGTGACATTGACATCTAGAAAAATTAATGACCCAATGTCACCAACTTGAACTGGTTCCATAAAATGTTACTAAAATCTCATTACAGCATCGGATGCTGTAAGGAGTCTCATTACAGACTTTACAGCTTTTTGAGTACTGTTATAGCTGTCATTACCGTCGCGAATTACAAAAAAACCTTACACAGTATGTTTACTCAACGGACCTTGCCCTTGCCTATTAACATGTATTATAATAATAATTATTCTTAAATATTTATTTATTATATTTCATTAATAGGCGGGTGTAAAATTACAAAACTAACATGAAAATATACGTCGTAGTTAATAATAAAAACAGCAGTATCCAAAACACCAGTGCAAAACATCCAAAAATAAACCTGCGAGCACTTGAATTGAAAAGAAACGTAAAATGGTTATTTACACGTAGTTGCTGCAACATTTGCAACCAACCATGCATTCGCTGTAAATACGCCTGTCTTGAGCATGCGCACTGATTTTTATCTGTTTTGGCAGTTCGGCTTTGGTGAATAGGCGTACGTGAATTTTATCTTTAATTTTCTGTGAGTGCTAAACCACCTGGCAACGATTACAAGTGAGTATCCCACCAAACTTATTTCCCATCATCATACTATTACAATTTTCACCGTAAAAGTATCTTTTAGTTTGGCTATGGGTTTGTTTAGCGGCCGGCTTAATTCACGACATCCACAATGGTGCTACGTGGCCTTGATAGCTTTTTTTACATTATTTATTAAAAACCCTCTAAACAACAATATTTCTGCACATTTTTTTTTCGTACTATAATCAACGATTTTAACTTTTTACTTAGGTACAAATACATTGCGTTTATTCTAAAATTGTTCTTTTTTTTTGAAAATAGGTTATCTTAAAAATTTGCATTTTTACCAAGAAATAATATTCACTCCGGAATTTTTAAAACATTTTCGAAAGTTCTTTCTCTATTTTTAGATTACTTTTAATCAGATAAGTAGGTCTGCGCTAACATAATTAAACGTGGCACATAATCTAATTAGTTTCACTTAAAGAGATCCAATTTCATTGTTATTCCCTATACAGGATGATGTTCGACGTCCAAACGATCGCAATCGTGTGCCTTTTCGTCGTTATTTCGGCCGCAGTTTTACTTTTCATCTCAATGGTTGTTACCAAAGAGAAGACCTACGAAGAGGCCATTGCAGAGCAAAGACAGCAAACCAATGCTTTGCTTACCAGCCAAACCAAACAGAAACCGAAAGAAAAGAAACAGAAAAAAGCTGGCAAGAAAGTAAATAAAATGATTAAGTAAAATGATCCTGAATTATTGGTGTAAAAGTTGTATCTTAATTTGTTAAAAAGTTATCTCACAACGATTACACCAAGTTTAGTATCAATATATATTAGAAATAATAATGTAACAATTTTGTATTTATTTTTGAAGGTGAAAGAGAAAACTAACCCCGTTCCAATTGAACAGGAAATTGATGAAACTGATGGTGTTGATCAATCAGTTGAAAATATTGGTGTAACTTCACAAACAATGTCTTCTTCCCATCCAAAACATCATGTGGAATTTACAGAACCTGCAGTTTTAGAAGAACAACCTACTAAGGATGTCAACAAGGTAAGTAAATATTTGTGGGTGTTTATCATTTATGGTTGTTTAATAATAGATTTTATCTTTCTACATGGTATTAGTTAATAATGACGTTTTCTTCTTTACTTTTGTATCTAAACACTAATCACCATTTAAACTAATTTGGTTTTAATGTGGGTCTACTTTTAAAAATTCATTTAGATGTTGATTGTTTTATCTTTCTTAAGGTCAAATATATGTCGCGTTATCAGGTATAATAATAAAATAAAAAGATAATTTTCTGATGAATTTGGTATTTTCTACGTTTTCTTTCAATGAATTTACGAAATAAACAATTTTTGCTGCTGAATCATAGAAAAGATAACAACTATATCGTGTGTATGTAGTTCACCAGGAAAGTGTTTATCTCTAAATTTTGTCTAATTTAATTTTAACGCATTTTATTACAGCTATTACTTGTAGCTTCTGTCAACTCTATCAAAATAATTATAACTTTCTATAATTTTTTTTGTATTAATTGTTAATTTGATAACATTAATGTTTGTATCAATATTTATACAGGGTGATTCACATAAGAACCGACACAGAGCAGGGACATGTAGAGGACAATAAAGTTGTACCCCTGAGGAGTTATAGGCCTTCAAAGTTGGCTCTTAAATTTTTAAAAAATTCAATATCTTCGTAATACATTAAGCTAGAAAAACCAAATTTGGTATATGTTATGAGTGTACTAAGGGTATTAATTGGTAGCAAATTAAACTCAATTGAGGCATTTCATAGGGTTGATTAAGGGTGATCTCTTTATCACCTGAAAATCATTACATCTAAACTAAATTTGTTTATGGTTGATGTCTTGTTAGTTGACAATAAACAACTTATTCCTAAAAAACTTTTCTCCATCACCTTTCATCCTTGAGTTATGATCAATTTTAGATACCAAAAGTACTCAATTTTGATATTTCGGTGATTTTCTCTTTATCATTAGAAAATCATTATAACTAAACCAAATCTTTTAATGAGTAATGTCCATTTAGTTCATAATAAACAATTTATTTGAAGTATACTTTTTTCCATCACCTTTAACTTTAGAGTTATGATCTATTTTAATACCAAAAGTACTCCATTTTAACATTTTGGTGATTTTTTCTTTATCACTAGAAAATCATTATACCTAAACTAAATTTGTTTATGGATGATGTTTTTTTAGTTCATAATAAACAATTTATTCCTAAAATACTTTTCTCCATCACCTTTCATCCTTGAGTTATGATCAATTTTAATACCAAAAGTACTCAATTTTGATATTTCGATGATTTTCTCTTTTTATCATTAGAAAATCATTATAACTAAACCAAATCTGTTTATGAGTAATGTCCTTTTAGTTCATAATAAACAATTTATTTCAAATAAACTTTTCTCCATCACCTTTAATTTTTGAGTTATGATCTATTTTAATACCAAAAGTACTCAATTTTGACATTTTGGTGATTTTTTCTTTATCACTAGAAAATCATTATAACTAAACCAAATTTGTTTATGGATGATGTTTTTTTAGTTCATAATAAACAATTTATTCCTAAAATACTTTTCTCCATCACCTTTCATCCTTGAGTTATGATCAATTTTAATACCAAAAGTACTCAATATTGATATTTCGATGATTTTCTCTTTTTTATCATTAGAAAATCATTATAACTAAACCAAATCTTTTAATGAGTAATGTCCTTTTAGTTCATAATAAACAATTTACTTCAAAAAAACTTTTCTCCATCACCTTTAATTTTAGAGTTGTGATCTATTTTAATACCAAAAGTACTCAATTTTAACATTTTGGTGATTTTTTCTTTATCACTAGAAAATCATTATATCTAAACTAAATTTGTTTATGGATGGTGTTTTTTAGTTCATAATAAACAATTTATTCCTAAAATACTTTTCTCCATCACCTTTCATCCTTGAGTTATGATCAATTTTAATACCAAAAGTACTCAATTTTGATATTTCGATGATTTTCTCTTTTTTATCATTAATCATTATAACTAAACCAAATCTGTTTATGAGTAATGTCCTTTTAGTTCATAATAAACAATTTACTTCAAATAAACTTTTCTCCATCACCTTTAATTTTAGAGTTATGATCTATTTTAACATCAAAAGTACTCAATTTTGACATTTTGGTGATTTTTCTTTGTCACTAGAAAATCATTATAACTAAACCAACTCTGTTTATTGATGATGTCTTTTTAGTTCATAATAAACAATTTATTTCAAAAAAACTTATCTCCATCACAATTAATTTTTGAGTAATGATCGATTTTGATAACAAAGGTATTCAATTTTAACACTATGGGGATTTTCTCTTTATCACTAGAAAATCATTACATCTAAACAAAATCTGTTTATCAATAATATATAATATCTATATAATATCTTTTTAGTTCATAATAAACAATTTATTCCTAATTAATTCCATCACCTTTTATTCTTGAGTTATGATCGAGTTTAAAACCAAAAGTACTTAATTTTGACATTTTGGGGATTTTCTCTTTACCACCAGAAAATTATTATGCCTAAACTAAATTTATTTATGGATGATGTCTTTTTAGTTCATAATAAACAGTTTATTCCTAAAATTACGTACAATTTCACAGCAACTTAGTATAGAGATAAGTTGTGTTAAATCATCTTAATTTATTGTCCTCTACATGTCCGTGCTCTGTGTCGGTTCTTATGTGAATCACCCTGTATATTGTAATATTTTATTTTTTTAGATAAGCATTATTAAAAGTTTGACAAATCTGTTTTACCACTGCAGTATAAATACCAGAAAAGAATATATTCGGTACAAAACCAGGAATAAATTATGTGGACATTTAACAATGGGATAACATGCCTATTCCACGAAGTTTAATCATTAAAATTAATCTGTTTAAAATTAAATTCGTAATCCATTCTACCAGTAATATCGTTAATAAAGGTTTAATAAACGACCACTTGAAAGTATAGAAAGTTTATATATTTTTAATATTAAACCTTTACTAACGATATTACTAGTAGAATGGATTACGAATTTAACTTTGATGAGATTAATTTTAATGATTAACATCCGTGAATAGACATGTTACCTATGTTACCTTATGGTTCTAGGCCTGGCCTGTGGTACTCACTGAATAAAGTATATGATCAGAAAATAGACCTTTTTCTAACAAAATTTATTATATCAAAAACATGTCGCAATTCAATATACCTGCTAATTTGGTAATAATGACACGTTTAACTCTCAACAAGGAAATCTATCTAGATCATTCGAAAGCCACGAAGATCTACGACAGGGAGATGGGCTGTCAAGTTTGCTTTTTAACAGCTCCCTGGAAAAGGTAGTACAAGATGCAGGACTGTGAACATCCGAAAAATATTTAACGAGTCAAGGCAAATCTTGGCATTCGCTGATGAAAAACGAGGTATAGAAGGCCTTTACAAGGTTGATAAGATGGGCGTAAGGATAAAATTTACAAAGAACAAGTATATGGTGCCAAAGACTGGGAATAACAAGATAGAGACGGTTAGCAGTTAATACTAGTTATGGAAAACATGGCAGGAACTCCAAGAGGCACTAAAGAGATTAGAGAGGAAAGAAAAATGCTAGTGCTTAGAAGAAAATATGGCGCTGTTAATGACAACAGTGTCTGTCATTATTACAACTTACTACTTCGAGTTGTTTTTTTTATGCATATTGCGAAACATAGATTTTTTTTAATATGCATAGCACAGTTTTATAACACCTAGTAAATACATACTATATTTAGTTACTTATTTTTGACACAAAATTAAACAAGATAATGTTTTGCAGCTTTTCCCAGTAGTCCAGTCTGCTTTACACATAATATAGATAAATATTTTCATATTTTTACCATTTTAAGATCAAAACACAAAAACGCGCGTACTGCGATAAGCGGAACACACTACTATCCGTGCAAAAAGTCAAGGCCCCTCACTTTAGAAATCGATATATTCGTAACCGCTCGATGGAAAAAATTGCGGTTAAGTTTTTTGTAATCAGTGAACATTTCTGCGTATCACAGGTTAATTTGAAAATTTTCGGGTACGCGGTTTTTCTTTTATCGCGAGTTAAGTGAAAAAAGTATCCGATTTTTGAGAGTGCCAGCAACTTTGTCTACTTTGCGATTTTTTTTTCCAAAACTATTTGATTTTTAATGTGGGGTATATTTTATTTTTTCGATATTCCATATAGTTTCGCGGAAAATCGCGGTTTAGTGGGATGCGGTTATTTGGAAAACGAAATGGCAGATTTCAACGCGGTTTTTACCAAAATATGTCAAATAATATCGGTTGTCGAATTCCGTTATCAGTATTTCAAAATTAGGGCTCCCTAATTTTTTAAGAGCGATTTAATGCAATTACAAATTAAAGAGAAACAGAAATAAGTTATGTGGGGAGAGGAGGGGTCCGTCCAATCGGAACAGATGGTGCGTCCTAGACAGTACGTCGCGCCTTTATCTTACCTACATAAAGAAATGAGGCGCGACGTCCTGTCTGGGCCGCACCACCCTGAAGTATTAGGGCTTTTTCTTCTAGGTTTTAGTCTTTTTAATAGTAATTTTTCAAGTAGTTTTGATAGTAAGGGTAATAATGAGATTGGCCTATATGATGTAACATCTGTGGGGGGTTTACCAGGTTTTGGTATCATTATTATTCCATATACTTGGGAAGTATTTCTGTTTAAAAGCAGCATTAATTATGTGTAATAGTTTTGTAATCGCCCGTTTTGGTAGATGTATCAATGTTTCTCCATTAATTAGGTTAATTTCATAATACAGTTCTTTCATTCTTACACATGGTATCTTACTCTGCTGATCATTTTGAATTATGCTAGGAACACTATTTAACATAATTGTTGGACTGTCTGATGTAAAAGTTTCTTTCAAATGTTCACCAAACAAGTTAACTCTTTCCTGATTGCTCTTAGCCCAATTTCCATTACTATTTCGAATTGGAAGTGTATGTATTTTTACACACACTTATGTACTTTAAGCTTTCTTGTTGCCTTCCACGGAGAATAATCAATACTGGCATCGTTAGTAAGACTAATTTAATAAGTTTGTGTGTTAATGGTCTTAATTCGGCTGTTATTTTACTTCATTTAGTTTTATCACTAGGAATTCTGTTGGTTTGCCATTTCTTTCTTGGTTTCCGTTTTTCTGCAATTTTGTCTCTAATGAATTTAGAATAAATGTTAGATTTAGGTTTTGGTATTAAAATAGGTATTGAGGCCCAGGCTGCGTTTTGTATGTCTTTTAAGAACTTTTCTTCTACTTCCTTGTCAATGTCTTCGTTTGTTTTCATAAGAGCATGAAGATGAATTTTATTATCTAATGTTTATTGAAATAGATTCCAATTAGTGAATTTATTAGTTAGTGATAAAAAGGGTTCTTTGTTACATACTTTGTTATTTAGAGTAATAAATAGTGGTTTTCTCCAAGTATAAATTTGTTTTCAAGATGTAGTAGAATTTCCTGATAATCTTCCCTTTTGAGATTATGTTTTGGCGGTATGTACGTTGCTGCTACAGATATTAAGCCATTAGCAGTTTAAACTTTTATCACTGTAGTTTGATGTCGTTCAGTACTAATTTGTATTGTTCAAATAGTGGTCAATATTACTTTTGATGATAATTGCACTTCCACCTCGAGCCGCATTACTAGGGTGAATTATGTGATTGATAAATATTGTAATGGTTGATGTTGATATACGATTCTCGTGTAAAGTGAGTTTCAGAGATATATCAATATTGTTTTCTTTAAGTATTATTGGTAGTGTTTGATGCTGTCGAAGACCATTGCAATTCCACAGCATTATTTTTAGTTTCTGCTTTTTAGACATTTTGATTTCTTTTTTGAATCGCTCTTTGGTTTAAATTGCTTTCAACGAAATCTAGACGTGCATATAATGTTTTTATTGTTTCTTCTTGTTGAAGTATTTTTTCTAGTATTAGATCTAATTCTTCTATGCTCTAATGCCTTCTTATCGATTAATGTACTTACAGTTTTCTCTGCAGTTTCACCACTCGCTTTTTCGGCATACGAAACACCTGGCTTTCTTTTATTTGAATTTACTGTTTTCTTATTCCTGATGGCTTGTAGTTCTTTAATCATAATGCATCCTCGGTAGTTCGCTGGATGATTCTCTGCGAAACATAGATATTTAAATACTGTTATACTCTATATAAAAGTTATACTCTGGCCATGTAGCCAGAGTGGACATAAAAAGTACCACAAGAACTATCTTTAATCGCCATGGATCTGTGGGTAGAATCGTTTGAGAGGTCGAAGAGGCGATTTCTAGATAATGTGGATCTCAGGGATTGGAGATGACAAACGTGGGATGTACCAGTTATCGTTTATTATTGTCGTTCGAGCAGGTTAAAGTGAGCAACGAGCTGTAGAGCCAAGAATGATGTAGATAACCCTTGTATTGACTCAGAGCCAAACTCGGAGCCAAACTGAAGATATTTTCTTAATAATGTTTTGACCACACTTAATAATCTTTGTGATTATATAGAACGTTAAAGTTGAATTAATAGCCGAGCATTTCTTATCATATACGGTATAACACTACGTTTAAATTCAAACTGTGAATATTTCGGGGTTACTTAAACAATGCATAATTAACAAAAATAATAAAATCTTTGTAATATAGCAGTTACAGCTATTTAAAAATTTGTTAAAACGCTCAAGCGGTGGTGTTTGTTTATTGAGAACCGCTGATACCATGTTTTTATTGCTTCCAATCCAGTTGATTTGGTTATTTAGCAGCGGACAAGTATTTTAATTATTCTTTACTGAATATCAGCGGTTCTCAAAAATTGAAGTTCAATTATTATTATTATTAACATGCGATATCTATGTAACTATTAAGTTTTTAACAAAACATTATTAAGAAAATCTGTACAGTTTTACCTCTAGTACCTACCCTATTAGTCTGCTTCGTATGTTATAAATCATACTGTATTTATTGAACATTGATTAAAATCCATTGTACCAGCGAATTATTAATGAATGACAATAATTTTACAGACTTTGGTGATACCTGTTGTACATCATTTGTCCTAACACATTTATCAAATTCTTTTAAGAGATTAAGATATACATTTTTTACTTTTTGTAAAACATTACATATTTTTATGTATAAACATATGTATAAACAATAATAAAACTTTTACGATTTAAATTAATTAAAATAGGACGCAGGTAAAGTCTTTTATGCTGACATAAAGTTTGGGGATAACTATAAAAAGTTATTCAATTCATACTGTTCTCAATGGCCTTTTCTTGGTGATAGTAACTTTCGTATTGTTGTACGTTTTCACATTTTTAAAACGTTTAAGAACATTTTTATGAAAAATATTTTTGTGGGTTTTTTCGTTCCAAATGTATTTTCTCGCTTAAACAAAGTTAGACCTTGTTTGCATGGTTTTGGAGTCGCAAAACCAGCGTTCTATTATTTTCTTCGATAGGACTCATAATATTCACAAGGACTTTTTAAAGGCGCTGCTAACCAACAACAAAATCTCTGATAGTAATATTTGCTTCAACTATGAAATCTTATCAACAATCTGTCCTTACTTACTTCCAAGTAATATTTCGACAATGTTGTATTAACTGACGGTAACGTCTATCTTTATGTCTATCTGTGTGTATCTGACTTACATCATCTACAACTCTTGTTTTTTTCAACATCGAATAATTTAATCCTTTATCATACCTGGTAACACTCGGCAAATCGATCATTTATTGTTGCACAAATTTGTATTTTCAAATATAGGATCACGTTTTAGGAGGGAAAGGCTTTTATGTCATTAGGTAGCCAAAATAAAGGCGCGATGTCGTCCATAATACTTATTACGAGTTTATTTTGCATCTACTTATAAGTGCAATTATAACAGATTGTTCACTAAAAGGTCATAAAGATTAAATGTAAAAATAATTAAATAATGCGTTCTTTGTAAATCTATTCCTTAGTATATTAACTATTCATATTATTTATTCTATTTTTCAAACCCGCCTTACTATAATAATTACATATTAGTGAACTTCTCTGTTTCCAATTCATACTGATTTTTATAATATGTTACACATCAGCTTCTTCAATGCATGTGTCTTGATATAACTTATAATTTTAATTAATAATAATTCATTTCATAACAACTAAAACTAGCTGAAATAACCATTCTATTTTGTTGGCTTTTATCAAAATCAATAAAATATATTAAAAGATGGAACGAAAATTTAATTTTGCAACGTAATTAACCCAGTTATGCCGAAGTGACACCGCAATATTTGGGATATTTTTTTATTAGATTTATTTAACGATGTAGACCTAAGTAGATTAAAAACAATTCGATATAAATGGGTTAATAAAAAGGTGGTAGATCGATGATTGCGCATGCTTTACTGCTTGGGTTTGCAGAGACGCCCGAAAAAGGATAAGGTTCGCCCTATCCTTCTCAATAGAGACATGTCCGAAGAGAAAATCGTTCTTACTCCGGACTGCGAGGTTGAACCAGCGAATCACTTCGAAGAGTCCCATCCGAAAGACGAATTCGAATTGATGCATTCGCAAAGCGTAAGTCTGGAGGTACAACAAAAAAAAGATAGTGGGAACAACTAATCGTTGGCAGTGTTTTTGCTTGCTTTCAATAGATTTTTGTTTAAATTTTTTTGTGTGGAAATATAGACGCCATATCATTTTATCGTATAGAATAGGATTCATATAGAAATAAAAAGGAGAACAACATCAACCATTTTTGGCTTTTGTGTTGTTTTAATATTGGGGTTTAATTATATACAATGACTTACTACTACAATTTTGTTTAAAAGAACGTTGGTTTTTAAATTTCCAGAAAGACAATTCTCCAAAAAGAGAACCTGTTAAGGAAAAGCTGGTAAAAGAAAAATTGAATGCAACCCACGAAGCGATTCCGTTCAAAACCAAAAAGATGCCAAAACTTCAAACTGTCGAAACCACTACTCAAACTAATCCATTAAAAGAGGAGCTTCCGGTACAACAAGTGACTCAAATCACGCAAACTAATGGTTTAGTATCAAACATCGGAAAAGATAAGAAAAAGAAGAAAACCGAGCATAATATTCTTGAACAACTTAGTAAGTATAAACACCATTCTCGATCGTTAAATAGTTATAAAATGTAATTATAATTTTTTGTTTGCAATGTTTTAATGTACAGAGTGATTTAAACGTATCGTAATGTTCTCAGCTTTTTACTTCAATAAGGCCCACTTTTACCATCCTCCTGATAACCTATCTAGAGGATAGTTGCCATGGTTACGACGGTTTTAAGCGCTCTCATTGGCTAAGAACTGGATTTATCTATCCGATAAATTTGTCAGGAGGTGGTAAAAGTGGGCCTAAGACAGAAACGCATTATTAAACATAAACTATATACAGTGTGTCCCCGGATAGGTGAAACGACTCTTATGAAAGGTAAAATTTTTTTAGATATTAATTGTCATTTTTTGTGGTTTAGCCCTGCTTGATTAAAGACTAATTTTGAATATATTTTCAATTTTTAAAAAAGAAGTGAGCCTCGAAAGTGAAAGAAAAACGCTTTTTGTGACAGGTAAAGTACCTTTTCTGTTTACAGTACGTGAAAGTGTTGCTAAGAAGTTTTGTTCAGAATCAAAAACTATGGCCATATGCAAATTTTCGGAATGATCGGCCTACTTTGAAAAAATCCATATCAAACAATTTTACTTTTAACAAAGACTGCCATGGAAAAACAAAATTGCTTTCCCGTCACTGTTAATCTGTAATTTAGTAAACTTAAACTGTTTTTTAAGTACAATGTTAACATTAGAGGAAAAAGTTTATGTGATTCAGTGTTATGGAACCGGGGAAAAATCGATAAATATGGTTATTGCTGTATTTAGTGAAAAATTTCCAAATACTGGAATTAAAAGAAGTACTTGTTGGCGTTTAATCAAAAGATTTCTTAGAGCAGGAAGTATTCACTCTAAGAAAAAAAAATTATGATGAAACTTATTAACTGTTTTCTTTTGTGGACGAACACACACTTAATTTTTTGTGAACATTTTAAGAACGGTTTGTTTATTTCTCCCGAATAATGTGAATCTCAAAACAAAAAATTCTAATAAAGTACTATTGACGAAAATAATAAACAATGGATTTTATCAAAGTAGGCCGATGATTCCGAAAATTTGCATATGGTCATAACTTTTCATTCTGAATAGAATTTCTTAGTAACATTTTACCATACTGTAAATAGAACAGGTATTTTACCTGACACACAAGAAGTTTTCCTTTAGTGTCAGCACACCCTTGTTTTTTAAAATTAGAAAATATGTTCAAAATTAGTCTTTAACCAAGCAGGGCTGAACCCCAAAAGATGACAATTATAACAGAAAAAATTTAACATTTTATAAGAGTCGTTTCACCTATCCGGGGACACACTGTATATCGTGACGCTTCACCTTACTTCGCTTTTTATACTTTCAAATGCTATTTAGACCGATTTGATATCCGATTGAATATCGCCAAAACATGCGCCACAATTGATAAAGAAACATTTTTCTTTAAAACCACAAATGGCGAAGTTATTGGATATATTCCACACATTTGATACACCCTGTATATACATAATAAAATATTAGAATAAATTATACTCTGTTTTTAAACCAGGAGGAGTAAACGCGAAAGCCAGAGGAAAACACACTAGGAAAAATCACCAGAATTAATAATAATTATTATTTGTTTATTTACTTATTATTGTGAAATTTGTTGTGAACGACTATTAGAGTCACGATCCATACCATGTTCTAAAAAGAACAGATTTCACTCAATTAAATTGAAGACGCAAAAGGGTTTAAACAAAATTTACAACAATGACACGAAACTGTCGAATTATCAATAACCTAACCTTCAAATTCAAAATCAAAATTCAAAATTGCCTGTGTGTGAACCTTCCTCGCATTCAACCAATCACGTGCAAGGTCAATCTGAAATTCAAAATCAAAATTCAAAATTGCCTGTGTGTGAACCTTCCTCGCATTCAACCAATCACGTGCAAGGTCAATCTGGTGACAAATTTAAAATACTCCTCCTGGTTTAAAAACAGAGTATACAAAAAGAACAGCCAAAAGTTTGGACTAAAAACATCTATCATTGTAATGGTTACAGTGCATACAACTTGAAAGTCCTTTAGAAATATTCTTACAAATTTGACATACTGTTTTGAACATGCTTGTTTTTGTCCCTTGAACACATACAGCAACTATTATAGGAACTGAAACATGCATGGTGTGCAGGCCTACGTTAATTTACGGGTTTCTTAAATGGCAAGATGAATATTACGTCTGATCACATCAGTCAAAACTATTGGAACATTGCAAGTTTAGTAATAGGATGAAATGCACACAAACACAGACCACTTTTTGCTCTTCTTTTCACTACTTTTTGTAGTACTATAAAAATTAACTATTAACTAAGTTAACTAAGTGGAAAACGCAACTGCAAGAAGGGGTAGACATTTTTTGATCAAACTTTCATGAAACGTTTATACAGAAGAATGTATAAACATAATTTTTATTACTCTGGGTGCGATTGTTTCTAACAGATGGTCGTTTTCCACTCGAGGTATGGTGTCATAAGCGACCTGTATGTACAGCTTGCGGCGTCTGGGGATGCTGCAGTTTCTCAGTTTTCTCTCCTATTAATGTTTAAACATGCTTGATGGGCGAAAAAGTCAGACGATCGGAGTGGCTGCTGCATATCATTATGCATTTACAGTGTCTTAATTAATTATCGTACCCGACATCATTATTGCAAGTATGCAACCAATATTACAGTATTTTCATTGCAATACGTGATTTCCGTATGATGCGCATTGCGCTGTGATATTGGTTGCATACTTACAATGATGACGTCGGGTACGATAATTAATTAACATACTGTATATTGTTCAGAGGAATACCAAACTAGATCTATTCCCCTGTACCATCACGTCCCTATACTTTGGTGCACGTACCTCGCAACTAAAATTGCTGTTGGTATTGAGTCGTTAGTGGTAATGTAAGATATGACCAATACCGAATGTTGCGCACCTGTATCTGAATTGTTCTTCTTCAACCCCCGGTTTATCTCCTGTGACGTTCCTAACCATTCCTAGTGCGTGTCTAATAGCAGCGCATGGTGGGGAATTGGTGCTGATGAAGGCGGTTCGCAATTTTTCTAAACGAAAAGCACCTTAGCACAAATCAACACTACGACCTCCGTCGAATTCGCTTAACACGTTGACTGCCGCTTGTGGAAATTTTGCCATGCATCAAGTTACGCTTCTCATAGCAGTGAACGTGTTAATTGAGTCAACGAGGCATGTTGACTTGTCCTGTTGACACCTCTGGCAGATTAACACTTCAATTAGGGAATGAAAAAATCAATAGTCATTACTCCATAGCGTCTTTAGCTCTCTAATAACGTTTATTTTGAACACTTACTCTAACTGATTGAATATTTCATGGTTTTAGTCAAATTTATTTTAATTTCCTTGTTCTGGGTCTTTGGTTAATTAATAACTAACATTACTTTAAAGCAGCATCAGTTATTACTGCATAATTTTCAAATAAAATACAATGTTGCCAGTAGTTTGACATAATCGTCAAATATGTGTATCAAACATTAAAAAATTGTAGCCAGGCAGCGACGACTAGCAGGTCACCTGACTTAAGCGCTCGTCACACTAGGCTGCTTGCCAGCCTCGAGTAGCGGAAGCCGCTACTGCCAACCGGCGAGTATTTATCAGCAGCTGGTGAAATTGGACACGTTCTATTTTGGTAGCCAGGTAGCGGCGACTAGCAGGTCAGGTGACTCACTTACACCCGCTGTCATCAGCGAGCAGCGCAGCCTGAACACTCAAGCAGTGCTGTTAACCCACCCTTAACAACTGCTAAATTAATTGTTTACGTGGACTCTCAGACGACATGGTTGCTGAAAGCGACTAAACGAAATGGCGAGCAGTGGCAGGTAAATAGTGTGACCGGGTTGCCCGTCGCTGCTTACTGGTGCTACGACCTGCTGCTGATCAGTAGCGACTGGCAAGCAGCCTAAGCCAGTGTTGGGTTTGCTTAAGCGCGCAAACCCATCTTATTTTTCAGTGTTGTATCTATCCTAGCAACGGGGCCAATTTTTTTTTTGAAACACTATAAAACAGTACAGAAAGCAAGTTTTTGTTTGAGCGTGTGTTTTTAGGCAGTAAAAAACAGTATCTCTTAGAAACTTTTTTTTAATGAACAAATATAAAATACGAATAAAAATAGAAATACAAATATTAATAACATTTAACATAGCTCAATAAAAAGTATTTCAGATATAGGAAAACTAAAAAGTTATTAAGCATTAAACTGTGTACAATTTTCACAATACATACGCGCATGTTGCAGGCATAAGTATTTATCACAACCTTCACAGGTGTATTTTGTCTTGCGATCACGACCGCGAGGACAGAAATCACATCGACGCTGTTTATCGAGCCGTTGTTTCTTCGGAAGTGGTTCAGGTTCAGGCTCGCCTCTAATCCTATATAAACTCATTCTCACTTCCCGAGGTACTCTAAAACTACTCATTCTTTTTCGTTGATAATCATTTATCAAATCAAATCCCAATTTTGTGAGGTAGTCTTTCCTTTTCAATATTACTCCATTATTGTTCTCACGATGGATAATTTGAGAATTGATGCCGGCCGTGTTCATTAGAGAAAAAAATAATGTTAGAGGCCATCGCCGGGAATTGCGACTTACGTTATAAGTTCCCGACAATTCATCTACTGTGTCCACTCCTCCCTTTGTTAAATTATGAAATGAAATCATTTTAGGTAATTTTTTTGTCGAATTATCAACTGAATCATCATGATGAAGAGTGGACATCATTAGCACAACTTTATTTTTTTTGGGAACGTACGATAGAATGGTAAAGTCTTTTTGAAAACCAAAAAGAGTAGAATTCATTGGTCGACTTTTAGCGGTTAGAAATGTTTGGGGGATTTCCTTTTTGTTTTTCGTATTGTGCCGACGCCAGTCAGACGATGGTTTGTACGCAGGCTTTCAAACAAATGATAACTGGTATACCAATTATTACATGTAATGTTTCTGCAAGTGCCGGAATATGGGTTCACGAGCCGTTCTACTATAGCCGTTGGAGTATTATTTACAACAAATGGACCATTAGGCTGTTTACCTACATAAATCTCCATGTTCGTGAGATAATATATTCTGGCATTCACCAAAGCATGAACCTTGATGCCATATTTGGCCGGCTTATTGGGCATATACTGTCTGAACGGACATCGCCCTCTAAAAGCCTCTAGTTTATCATCCATAGTTAAGTATTGGCCTGGCGTATAGGCATTTTGACAATTGGAAACAAATTTTTCTACTATACTTCGTATAGGCGCCAGCTTGTCGATTTCACGTCTACATGCGCGATCTGCTTTATTGTCAAATCGCAGGCATGTGTGCAAAAATCCGAACCGTCTTTGAGACGTAGTTATTCGAAATACTTCTATGCCTGTCCCGTCAGTTTTCCAAAAATCTCTTAGCAAACGACGGTTATTTCTAAAAACGCCTGCTAAATACAGCAGCCCAAACACAGCTTTTATTTCTATATTATTTGTTGCTTGGTAATGTGCAGACTTCTCCCATCCACTTGTTTTTTCCTCAATGCGTTGATTTGTCCATTTCACTATACTATCTAACATTTCTTCATCGATGAATAGCAGAAAGCAGTCAATTGGATTTTTTTTTGCCCCTAGCGCACTGCTTGACTCCTGGTAATTGGGAGATAATATTCTCGGCTCTGGTCCTCACGTTTTTGTTGTAATATTTTTTGCCCACTTAGTACCATTTTTACTCAAATAATAATTCTTTTTCTCTTCTATGTCCTCACCGTCCCCAGCTTCTTCGACAACATTAGTTTGCTCATCTTGCACAAGATCAGGGTAATCACTATTTATACTGACATTATCTTCTTCACTTTTGCCATCCGCCTCAATATCTTCCTCTTCACTTGACATTTCATGCCATGCCAGGCGGCGCATCTCCTTTTCATAATCTGTCATATCTAACTGTTTCAAAAACTAGACAATTATAGAGGATTAGGACAATAATAGAGTAGATTTTAAAACACTCACCTCACAATTTGAAGCACAATCTCGTAAACACTATAGAAATTATTATAATTTTTTTTATCTCAATTAGACACGTGGGGTTTGGTACACCCTAGGTACACTAAACTGCTCGTTAACTTCACTTCCAATTAACTGCCATCAAAACGGTTACATACGCTGATAGAATCGACTATTGCCGAAAGCTACCGAGAAGAATACTTGCCTGCTCACACGCATCGCGTCGGCATACTACATCTTAATTCGCTGTGAGTTTGTTACACCCTACGTGTCGGACGCCGGGTTAATAAAACATTGCTATTTTGATTGTGTTATACTTATTTACGTTTGTATGAAAAAATTAAATTTACTGTAATAAATAAAAAATTGTTTTACATAGCTGCCGAAAAAGATGGACTCAATCTACAACTTCTGAGTTCATTGGTGCGTAAGGCTGAATTGTCTCGTTCTGAGGTACAAATTCTTATTGATATGTTACTAAACAAGCAGCACGAGGCCCCTGCAATAATTGATGAGTGGAGCGAGGTAATATATTCACCCGAAATCCACCATCCCTCTTATTTCTAAACCTTGAATTTTTTCATGTTGTGCATTTATCTGGCTTCATCAATAGGGTAAAGCCGACCCTGTCCAAAAACTCAAAAAACAATTGGCCGAAAAAGAAAAGATGCTCCAAGAAGAACAAGAAGCCTTGGTGAGCGCCCAGGCAAAATTGAAGGAGGTACGCAGTGAACAAATCGCGGAAAAATCACAGTTGCAACAGAAAATGCGTGGATTAGAAGAAGCCCTGAATGCAAAACTTGTAGAACTACAGAACGTTAACGGTCGATTGGTTGGAACGCAACAGAAGTTGCAACCGTTGCAAGAACAACTTAATAATGAAATGATCAAGAGTCATAAGTTGATGGAAGAGAATGGAGGTTATCAAATGCAAATACAACAGTTGCAACATATTATTACTCAAGCCCAAGAAAAAGAAATGGCTAACGAGCATCAACAGAGTATTTTGGCGCCGTTACAACATCAAAATGCTATTATGAAGAATGAAATCGACCAAAAAGAAGATTATATTAGAAAAATTGAGGTTAGTTTTTAATTTTGAGGTACAAAAGTTTCGTTTTTTTCATTTCTCCAAATATTTCGCGGATAATTATTTATATATTGTAACAAATTAAGAATCCTTTAAAACAAGCTCAATTCAATAATTTATCTTAAATTGCTATTTGTAGGAAGCGCATAAAGATTTAGAACATCGTTACGGTATGATGCAACGTCAAGAAAATGATATGCAATTGGAAATAGCTCAGTTAAACGCGACGTGTCAAAAGCAAATGGAGGAATTCCGTATATCCGAGTTGACAAAAGTTCAAGCATTGACTGAATTACAGAATATGAAGAAGTACAAAGAGGAAAGCGATGAAATTATAACAAAAGTAAACATTAAATAAAAAAAAACTTGTAAATACTATTTAAATCATTTTTTCTTACAGTTAAAATCTGAAGTTTTAAACCTTGAAGAAGAAAAACGCCAAACCGATCTATCTAGGGAAAATGGTGTTATGGAAGAGAAGAAAGCTCATCAAGTTGAGGTGATGAATCTACAAAACGAATTATCATCATTGAAATCTCAAATGCAAGAAAACGAAAAAAGGTATAATGCTAATTTAGACGCATCAATTAAGAGACTCGAAACGGAATTGGCGGAACAAAAAGATAAGAACAATGTAAGTTTGGCACTTTTTCTTTCAATTATATGATTTTATTTATTTAATTCATTTGGTTATTGGTAGTTGTAGTTTGAGTTATTTAATTATTAGTGGTAGACTTAGATTGTTTGCGTTTGTTATTTAGGATTTACGCAAAAAGAACTGGAAAGTGATGGAAGCCTTGAACATAGCGGAAAATCGTAACAAATGCGTGATTAATGTTGAAGTAAGTGCTTCTTGATAAAAATTAGAAAAAGAGAATTAAATTATAAATATATTTTGAATATTTAATTGAAGAGTTATATAACGTTTTATTATAAAATTTCAAATCTAGCCTTTAAACAATTTAAGCTTACAATGAACAAAATCATTTATTAATTATTAATTTAATAACTTGTAAATATATTGTGTTAATGAAAAGTTGACATCACTTTCCAAAATTAATAATAATATATGAAAACAATTAAAATAAAATGTCTTAATACTTTATTTTAGGAAACAGTTACAAAAATAAAACTTGAACAGGAAAGTATGAACAAAAAATTCATCCAAAGACTCTTCCCAAATATTAAAGTTAACGAAAATGTAACGCACGAAGAATGGTGCGAGCAAATCGAAGGTGCAATTTCTCGATATGTGAATGAGCTTGAAAAGCCAAAAACTCCAGAACCCGTTGACAACAGCGAATTGATCAAGTTACAAACTGAAAATAAACGGTTCAAAGTTATAATAGCCGATACTGTAATTATTTCTAATTTGTTTTTAAATTTTCCGCTTATTTAACCTCTTCTTTATTTTGGTTATTTTTAGGAAGGGGTTTTAAATAAACTTCAGAACCATGTAGAACAAGCTGAAATTCAATGGACAAAAAAACTAGAAAATAAAGACAAGGAGTTGGCGTTGCTTAAAACTCAATTAAAACAGGTACGTTTTTACTAAAATGATTTTAATAAAGCAAAAAGAAAAAGTTTGATAACGATAGGCGGCTCCTCCTGTCTGCTCCCCAAATTACATACAAGGTGTTGAATTTGCATATAAATGTATTGAAAAGTCTCTGCCTACAATAGTTGATGAGGTACAGTAGTTAATTGTATTATTTCTCGGGATGTGTCGGATTTAATCATAACGTAATAATTCCTATGTACAAAATATGCGTCTTTTAATGTGGTGTTTGATCAATATAATAATTTTTATATAAAAATATTCAGCTTAATTTATCGACCCAGCTTTTTGTAATGTGCCAAAATCAACACTTCCTAAATTTAAGAAAAAAATAGTTTTGTGTATGAATTTACAAAAAATCTTTTTTAGTTGCAAGATCAGTTGGATGAAATGCAACAACGTTTAGCAATAGAAGAAGAAGAAAATCAAAAAGTTTTAAATGAAAATGATACCTTAAATAAAGGTCATATAGACAGACTTACAGAGGTAAATCTGGTTTTTATTTGATGTAACACATATCAATATTATACAGTGTGCCCGTAAAGTAGCGTATATAGGCGATAAAATCATTATAAACGAGTTATGGAAAAATCTCTGATACGGGTCTAAAGATTTAAATTTTTAAACGAGGTATGACGTCATCGATATTCTGTTGAAATAACATTCCCCCATTTTTGCTTGACATGATAAAAATAGCAGTAGCCATGACTAACTATGCTAACCAATTATTTTAAACAATTTCCTAACTGTTAAAAACTAATTTAGTAAGTAGTTGACCTCTTTAATGCAACATATCCTGTCGGCAACTCATTAGTCAAAGTATGGTGCCTAGTTGTGACTAAATTTAAAAAGCATGGACATCTGCGAGATTTTTTGAAGTCTGGCTGACCAAATGTTTCAGGGAAGATTTAATAAAACGTGTTTTTTCTGGGCAAGAAAACCCTCATATTACTGTCCTAATACTCTTTATTGGATCGAATCTTGTCATTAGTAAATCAACAGTTTACAAAATTGTAAGGGGGCGTGATGGCTCAGCGTGTTAGCTCTCGGGTTAACACGCAGACGTCCCGGGTTCGAACCCCGGTGAATTCACGTCGAGTCGCCCCCCGTCCTTCGGAGGGGACGTTAAGCCGTCGGTCCCGGCAACCAGTCTAACATCTCTGGTTGTCGTTAGCACGCATGTGTGTGAGGCTCGACTTATAGGGACGAATGCGCGTGAGCGCCCTCTGACCCCTCGGGGTCGGGGCGGCGGTAACTCGTCATTGGAAACGAGTAAGCGGTATCGTCACCTAACGAGATCTTCTCTACCATCTCGAGCCTCCAAGGGAGTATGCACAAGGGGCCCACTGGGGCCTAAGTGCGCGTAAAAATTACGCACCCCTCTCTCTACATACATACACATACATACAAAATTGTAAAAAACGCAAAATATCACCTCTATGAAGTAAACCTCATTCGTGAACGATGTCGTCGTTTTTACAACGACAACGAAAAATTCGTCAAAAACATAATTTTTTCCGACGACGGAACATTTACATTGAGTGAACAAGTAAATAGACAAAATTGTCGGTATTGGGCTACCCAAAATCCAAATTAGCCAAGAAAGTCGCACACCCAATATCCGCAGATGAACTAGTACTAAAGCGTTTGTGGGACCAGAGCCAGCAGTTGGTATACAAATAGATTAACATCTCTCATCTTATCCATTTTACAAACAAGTTTCTTAATATTTCTTTTTGTTTTGTTAAAAAAGATCACCTATCAAAGTCGAAATCAGATTATTAGTTACTAATTTACAAAATTAAAGTTTAAAAGGTTGTAAAATGAAATTAAGGACGAAGGACGAATTTAAGAACGCTCTTTTTTAACAAAAGAACTATTAAGAGACTTGGGAAAAATTCAAGAATCATCATATGGCTTAAAAATCGACGATTTTTCTTAATCAATGTGAAATGGCCCAAAAAATAAAAAGAAAGTGCAGAAACGTGACTGACTAACACTAGATTAACTTCAGTTATAAAACTTCTATTACATGATAACTAACTTCAAGTTTAAAATGTCAACCTCAATTTTGACATATTTGTAATCTTCATTAAAAATCCTTTAACATGAGTACAAACACGACATATTTATCTTCAATATTAATAAAGTTATGGTCAACTTCCGGTTAAGAATGTCAACGTCAATTATGACATATTTGTAATAATACGTTTAACTCCAATATTACTCGAGATATAAGAACTTCCGGTTGGAAATGTCAATATCATTTTGACATATTCTTAATTTTTATAAAATGTCTTAATATTTGTCACAAAAAAAATAAAAATATAATAAAAAAAAATAATTAAATTAAGGTTGGTATTAATATTTAAAAATTAAATTGCTATCTTCATTATTGCTAACTTAGTGTTTAATGTTTTTTATTCTAACTTTTTTGTTTTTGAGATAAGTGCGTCATCTTTGGACTCATTTTAAAGGTTTTTTTAATGAAGATGTCAAATTGACGTTGACGTTTCAAACCGGAAGTGATTGTATTTCCATTAATATTAAAGTAAAATATGTCGAGTTTGGACTCATTCTAAAGGATTTTTTTATGAAGTTGACAAATATGTCAGTTGAAAGTTCGAACTTTTAGTTTTTTTGAGATAAATGCGTCAAGTGGACTCACTTTAAAGGTTATCTTATGAAGATTACGAATATAATAATAAAATTATAGTTGACATTGACAACTGAAAGATTTTTCACGACTAAACCTGAATGTTTCTAGTTCTCGTTCTAGTTTTAGTGCAATAAAAATATGCAACATAGTAATATCTTATGCTAACTAGCGCTACCTACTACTGCCACTAGAACTAACACCAGACCGAGAACTAGAAACATTCGGATTTAGTCCCTCGTCTCTCAAGACGGCTAAACCCGAGTGATTCTAGTTCTTGATCTTGTGTTAGTTCTAGTTTTAGTGCAATAAAAATATGCAACATAGTAATATCTTATGCTAACTAGCGCTACCTACTACTGCCACTAGAACTAACACCAGACTGAGAACTAGAAACATTCGGATTTAGTCCCACGTTTCTCAAGACGGCTAAACCCGAATGATTCTAGTTTTTGATCTTGTGTTAGTTCTAGTTTTAGTGCAATAAAAATATGCAACATAGTGATATCTTATGCTAACTAGCGCTACCTACCGCTGTCGTTTGTAAAATGGATAAGATGAGAGATGTTAATCTAAAAGGGATGAAATTCTCCATATTTCTCAAATAATTAAAAAAATATAATGTTTCATCTTCAGTACTTAAATTAAATTTACAAATTGATGTAAAAAAATGTTGTAGGGTATGTTGGGATTAGGTATAAGTAATTCTTCTTAAACATAAAATATTTTAAAAATTTACAAAAATCAAAAAATTAAATAAAATTCTTTAAAAATTTCTTGGAAAATAACCCATCAAGAAATTTTTAAATTTGAAACAAATTTGATTTAAGTACTGAAGATGAAACATTAGTTTCGAAACATGTTTACTAATTAAATTAAATATTTTAGTATTTCTTATAAAAGTTTTTACTTTTTTCTATATTTTTTAGATGTTGATCTATTTGTGGAGTCTCTGAAGATGGCCAAGGGCCGAAACTAGTTAGACTTAATCTCTATATAAAATAAAAGACATAAACTTTTAATTTTATACTAACATCTAGAAAACGACACTGGCCCGAAATTGTAGGTTCACTTATTTTTTCTATTGTAGAATTTCTTGGTGTATCTAATTGTAAGTGTTGTATCTAAGTCGGTTTAAACGTATAATGCAAATCAGATTTGAAATCGTATAACGTGATTGGCGTTTAGCTTTATCCTTTAAAACAAACAGTATTTTATGCCTTTCGGTATTATGCATTTTTTCTAAGATAAGTTACACCTTTACCTACCAGACAGCATGAAAATCTCTAAAAACGATAAAATGTCGCTTAGTCAAGTGATGTATAACGCGGTCCAATTTATGTAATGTATTATCCACAAAAAATCGATATGTGGAGTGAAATAGTACGGGATACTATCCCAACTTTTTTGTATAAAGTTAACTGGACAGAGATGTTTAGATATTTTCAAAACGATGTCATTCCGTCCATAACGGCCTCATCCTGATAATGTTGACCCAACTCAATTCCAACAAGATGGCACAGCACCACACTTCAACACTTAGGAATTACTAAATCACTTGTTGACACTTAGGAATTTGTTTAAAATAATTGGTTGTCATAGTTGCTCATAGCTACTGCTGTTTTTATCATGTCAATCAAATATGAAATAGTTAGATTCAGAAAAAAATCTCTTTCATGTTCCGTTATGAAAATGAGGGGGGATTGCTATTTGAAAAAATATCGATGACATCATCACTCCTCTAAAAATAGCGGAAAAAAAATCAAATCTACACCGACAAATTGCAAAAATGCAGGGATTTTCCCATAAACCGTTTACAGATGCACTGTATATTAGAGAAATTTTAAATTAACAACTAAATCTTCAAACTTTGTTTTCTAGGATATAAGCAACCTAACTCAACAACTCGAAGAATCCCAAAAAAGAAATAGTGAACTTCAAATCCAACTGGATTCCCTCAGTAATTTAGCAGTAAAAGTAAGTTAATATTTTTTTAACTGATCTTAAAATTAAATTGAAATTAAAAGTTCAAGTTTAAATTTTTTTATACGTATAAATATCATGAAACTACTGATGAGTCTAAACCGGTCTAATATAATTTAGCCTTTTGGCTAATATATAAACTTTTTAAATCTTTCATTTACTTTTGCTCATAAAACGTTAAAATTCACGAAAAAAGAATAACTAATAAAAACGTATGTAAATTATACCTAAACTGTATCTAATTCAATTCATTTTTGGAGTTACGCCAGAAGAAGATGTATGAAGATATATATATATATATATATAAACAAATAATTTCTTTGGAATTATTTTTAAATTAAATGAATTCCTTCAAAAAAATGGTGAATCTAAAAATGCGTTGGAATAATTTGTGTGTTACTCTTGCAACTGTTTGATATTCAAACTGTTTGTAGACCAAATCGTTTACATACATGGGTAGCAATCGTGGTATCGCCTATATGTCTAACTGTTTGTAGACCAAATCGTTTACATACATGGGTAGCAATCGTGGTATTATATTTGTTTGTCTGTTATACAAACATGACAGCGAGGTATCCTGGATATACAAAAAGGTAATTTACACACTCCAGGCTCTAAACGCACTCATTCTAGGAATACCGATCGATTGGAAACATACACATAACCCCGATTCATAAAAACGATGACAGGAGAAATTGTGAAAATTATAAAGGGAAGCGGCATTTGGCAGTGTACCACGAAACAAATTGTTTGAAGTGTTAGACAACGCAAGTATAAAACTGAACTATGTGAGGACAATAAAAGAATTGTATAGTGCCGCAACATCGGCAACAAAAACAAATCAAACCATGTCAGAAAGTTGGCCAAACACTAAATATTATAAGGATGCTGTCGCCTACCCTCTTTAATATGTATCCTATACAATCAAACAGTCGACAAGGAAACGCTCGAATATAGGAGTACGGATAGATGACTTCTTTGTAGGTATGCGGTTTCACGTGGGAGGTGAATTCCTTCACAGCACTTAGGCCCCAGCGGGCCTTTTGTACGTCCCCACATTTTACAGTTCATTCAGGGGTCAGAAAACCAGCCCAAGGTTTTAATGAACGTTAATATAGAACAGAAGGGTATGTTCTTTATATTCGAAATTTGGGGCCATGGTACACCAAAAGGTTTCCTTTAAGTACGCGAGTTTGGAACAGTCACAAACAATATGACTTACCGTCTCGTCTTCTATTGCACACTCTCTACAGAGCGATGTATTTGCCAGCTTCATGTAAAGGTGTGTCCAGACATTGCGCGACAAAAATGCGCGGCGTTCATCGGACACAATTCTGCCGCGCGCTAGTTTGGACGTATCAAAGAGCGTGTGCGCGGCATTGCTACGCGGCATATGCGAGACCGCGAGCACTTTAGTTTATGTCAACCAAATGAATTCATTCATATTTCGTCCCATAGGTCTTCACGTTTAATTTTATTGTAGTAACCTTTTTCTTGTTATCCGTCTTTTCGTATACGACCACACGTCCACACACGATTACCCACAGAGTGAGGTGATTGGGTGAGGAGCCTCAAATCACTTTTTGAGTTTCCCAGGAACTGAGTAGATCTCTTCCGGTCAAGGTACAGCAGAGTTTTCTTTGCAAAGACACCTACTGCAGTCTCATCCCATCTATCCCAAAAAGCTCGATGGGAGATGGAGTTCATCAACTTTGATGCTGTTTTAAAAGTTAGAGGTACAAACGGTTGAGGGGAGACCGGTGACTTCTTCGGTGACGTCCGCATGATCGTGTCGGTTATTCCGGCACTTTATCGTGACGTTCTTATAAACGTTAGGGTCCTCAAGTGATTGCCGACGGGACTTTACTAATGATGATGTAGTTCGATACCCACTAACCGCCAGCATAGCCTGTCTGCTATCTGTGTAGATTACAACGTTTCTGCCAACTTTTTTGGAATCGATACTCACATTGGGTGCTATATCTATAGCAGTTATTTCCGCCTGAGAAATCGTGCAGTACGACCCTAGCGGAGTGGAAAGGTGCAGCTGGAGATCGTGCGAGAAAATTCCCGCTCCGGAGCCTTCAGCCTTCTTTGATCCATCAGTGTGGATGGTCAGCCTCACTCCAGAGTTGGATCCAGAATTTTCCCATTTTTACAGTCTGCTTATTATCCACTGACCGCAATCGAAGCAACGCCATCACGGGCACCCCCTGATAAAAATTTCTAGGGGCAGCATGTTCTGCATAGTCTTCAGCGCGATCGTGGGTGTCGATCTCATGGCGCCCGTGATTAACAGACAGGCCACTCGTTGCAATTGATGCAGAAATTTAGTCTTATAGGCATGTTGCAGTGCTGAGCACCAAACTATGGGTCCGTGAGCTATCATGGGTCTTATCACAGACGTATAGATCCACATTGTAACCCTCGGATTTAATCACCAAGTATTTCCAATTGCCCTTCGACACTAGGTGGGTACAATCGTTGTTTTTTTGGTTTTGCAACTAATGTGTGATTTTCAAGTCAGTCCTTTGTTTAAGATAACTCAGAAATGGGGTGGTGTTAAGTGTCTCAGTTTCCTTTGTTTAGTGAAGTGAACAATCTCAGTCTTTTTAGGATTTACAGAGAGAGTGTGCTCTTCACACCATCGTTCAACAAGTTTAAACGCCTGCTGCAGTTTATAATAAAGAAAATTATTAGGTTTACCTCTTAACAGAATAGCCACGTCATCCGCGTAGCCGACTGTGAAGAGATGTTTATTATTTAACTCACGAATGAGATCATCAATCGTTAAGCACCAGAGAAGTGGTGAGAGTACTCCACCTTGTGAGCAGCCTCTAACCATAGCTCTCTGTACTTTGTGACTTTTCGCCTTAGCCAGAATAACTCGCTTGCTAGCATTGTCTTTATGCAGCCCGCCATGACCAATGATACTCTTCGAGATTCCAGTGCCAGATTTATACTTTTAAAGGTGGTTTTGTCAAACGCTCCCTCTATGTCAAGGAAAGCTCCCAATATAGACTTCTTCGAATCGAGTTATTGCTCAATGCGCCCATGTGCAGGGCTGTATCCACAGATTTATATAAAGCATGCTGATGCAAATGCAAAGGAAACGGTGTAAGTACATTTTCTGTAATGTAATGATCACAAACTCTTTCAAGTGTCTTTAAAAGAAAAGATGAGAGACTAATTGGTCAAAAGGCTTTAGGATCCTTTGGGTCCTTTTTTCCATTCTTCGGTATATAGGTTATTGTAACCCTCTTCCAGCTGACGGGGACATAGTAACCCCCATCAAGTGTGTTTTCATATCCTCTAGGCTCATATACTAATGAACGTCCATTAGTAAGTGCAATGATTCTTCTGCATCCTTGGAAAACTGCCGTCGTTCTTTTTTAGAATGTCACAGGCGTGTTTTTGGCCGTGAGATAGTATTTTGTTAAGGCGTGAGCGGCACTCTCCACCTCCTCGCAAAAACCTCTCCAGGCTTGTCGCTTCTTTTGACGTTTGAATTCTGATTGGTGTGTTTTAAACACAGTCCAGTCAGAATTCAGTCTAGTCTGTTTAGCTTTATTAACCTTCCGGCAGGCGCGCCTATTTTTATTACACGAGCAGGGGCGTAGTGTACAATGTACACATAGGAAAATTTCTTCTTTTGGGGGAAATTTACATGTTATTTCAGAAAAAGAAACAATACAGAGAATACACGACACTTTATTGTTATATTTTATGTGCATTTCGCAAGTCTAGCAAGTTATCATTGTTTTTGAGTGTTTTTTTTACAAGTCGTAATAGTATCTTTTTGAAAGCTTATTTGGCTTTCAAAAAGATATAGACGATTGAGGCTGACGATATTTATTTGGCAAAAAATCCGCAGGAATTTCACTTTCTCTGAATGACTATCATGTTCACTTTGAGCAATTATTTTTTCTTCATCGGATATATCGCTGTCGTCAATACTTTCCTTAGGTTCCTCTTCCAAAAAATCTAACAATCCATCTCTCAAATTATCATTCCCTAACATTCTGAATAAAAATAAAGAGATAATTCGAGTAAAAATTAACTGAATAAATCATAAGTTTTCAGCGTTAGTTTCGTGTTTTAAAAATAAAGAACTAAAAACATTAACCTACCTTAATGAATTAAGAATAACACGAACAGGCGCGTACGTGTATTTTGTACACAAACTCTCTTAATCTCACTAATTTATTTTTTTTTCTTAATTTTTAAGCCTCTCAACAAATTTTCAATCATATCCCTTAAAAGGCATTTTAACTTTAAAGGAATACCTGCTAAAGAAAAGTTTTTTTATCCGGAAATTACATCATTCTACCCCTAAAACACAATTGTGTGTACTTTGTACAAAGCGCGCCTGCCGGAAGGTTAAAAGCCTTCCTGCAGGTGACCTTCAGTGAATGGAGATCGGGAGTCCACCATAGTGTTGCCCTTCTTTTCTCCTCCACTGTTCTCTTCGGCCATGCACCGTAGAAAGCCTGAATCAGTGTGCCACCTACGAGATTCGAGTGTCCTCTAATTCATCGGTATTCCCAGGAAGGGCATCCGGAAAATCGTACACTTGCTCGCTTAGACAGCTTGCAAAAATACTCAAGTTAGTCCGCTTCGGATCCCGGACTCTCTTTTTCAAGAGCATACATCTGTGGATACGCCGTCGATGCCAAAGTCCAATTAAAAATGACTCCTTTTTTACACTTTATTGTTCACAGACGATCAAGTCGTTGTGACTGAGAATAAAGAGGATGCAGCGTACATGACAATGAAACTTAATGAAAAATGCGAATCCTGGGGTCTTGAAATAAACATGGCGAAGATAGAATACTTAGTGGTTGAAACAGACACGAAAGATTTAGATGTTGACGGCGGTCAATTAAGGAGACGCAAAGTTTTTACATATCTGGGGTTTTTAATTAGCAAGACAAATTTTGAGAAAGATATAGGTGATAGAATATATCTAAGTAGGACGCAAAGTAGTACAGCTAAACGGCAATAATATACCAATCTATAATAGAAGGTATTACATTGTATTACTCTGAAACTTGGTACATGGTCGTCGCTCTTCGACGAAGCTGCAAAATATCGAGACTCCAGCACATTACAAATAGTGTCATTATATAAATAATGAACGCAGACGGAGATAGCGATGGGCATTTGAACAGAATGGGCGAGAAAAATTGCTGGTTTTAGCGCACAGCATAAGATTGTTTAAGTATTAGCTGGAAGACTTGTTGGACATATATAGTTTTAGTTTGTAAGTTCTAGTGTTTCTTTATAGTAGTTTTATTAAATATAGCGTTCTTTAGGGGATGAAATCCACGACCCCTTTGAATTTTTATAAGAACTTTTTCTCACCATGGAATATTAACATAGAAAAAGGGTTGTAAAGCTCATTCGTTAGTGGTACTTTTTTTTCTCTCCATTACTACGTTATGAAAAGGTGATTTGACACATTTGGTATTTTGCAGTTTCGGTAAAATAGTAAAAATCTAAACACTCAGTGCAACCACCATCGTGCAATTCCCATTTAGACCTCACCCCAATCAAACAGTTTCAAATCCGAATAAAACCCGAAATAATTTACATGTTAAGATGTCAACATAAACAATATACAATTTCTTTATTCGTTTATTTTTTGTTGCAGGCAATTAATAATCATAGCAGCACCTCAAATGGCCCAGCTGTAACAGTAGAGGTAAATATTCACGAATAAAAATTAATGTTGAGTTGCTTTGATTTCATCATTTCCGCTCACACGCTTTGAGCCCCTCTCTGTGCTTTAAATAAAAAACTAATTAATCACTTCCAATTTGTTTTTGTTAACGCAATTCTCGCAGACTGCACTATCATCCGCATCTAGCGCTACATCATCCATTAGCGAAGTAAAAGTAAAAAAGAACAAAAAGAAAAAGAGAAAGGTATCATCTGTTTTTCGACTTCTTATTATTGGCATGATAAATATAATAACTTTTTGTTTCAAAAACACATAGTTCTTGGTTTTCGGTTTCTTTTTATTTGGTATCGTTTTATCTTAACTTTTTTTTCTCTTATTCGCTTTGTTTTTGCATGAATAATTATCATTCACAACAATTACGTTTTTCATACTAACTGCATGTTTTGTATAACATTTATTAATGTTATAAAAAAATTATAATTAATAATTTTTGTGTTTATGGGTTAGTTCAATAATTAAATTTTCTTTCAGAACAATGGTAATTAGCGTTATTTGCTGAAGGAGCTTAAAGAAAAAAACAACTAGAAGTACATAAAAACGTGTTATTATTAAAATAACAAAAAAAAAACCTACGAAGCATATTATTTATATTTTTCTATTTAGTACCTATTAACGACAACCGCAACTTAGAAGTTTCTGCTCGTGATAAATTCATTCCTATACACACCGATCGACCGTTTGGAGACCGTGCTAAACTATCCGTGCCTCCAGTGCAATTGTACGATTTTCCTCTTTTTCGTATGAGTTTCCCTTTACATTATTTTATATATTGCTAAACAGTGCCACGTTGCAATTGTTTTCATTATTTTTGTGTTTAATGTTTTATTTCATGGTGTTGTAATTATTATTATGGTTCTATTTTTTTTTCTAAGTGGATAGATAACTTATTATTGTACCCGTAATTACTCGTTTAGTAATCAAAAATTTTTTATTATCAAAATGTTATTAATTATCTTATTTAACTACACAATAAATTTAAGTAAAAAGAATGTCAAAATTGTATATTTTGAAAGGATTTCCTGAAGCTGTAATAAAAAAATAGATTTAAATGATGAGCGAAATTAATGCGCACACGAAATTGTTGCCGCTAATTTTAGATACCGGCTTATTAATCCCTGATATTATTATCATTATTACTATAATTATTTTTGCAGGAGAAAAAAGAAAACGTATCGCTACTTTGACACCCCTGCTACTAAATCGAATTGTGTAATACAATTGATGCTTGTATCCCCGGAATGGTATTTTCTTCTTATTTTTTGTTTAATAAGGGATGGAGATATTAGTAATTGTACGACGCATTAATAATTATAACTTATATAACAGTATATAAAAACATCAATAAAATTTATTATAAAAAATCGAATTGGTTCTTACTAAACATTCAAACAATCAAGCCCAATTGAATGGATACAATTCAAAGAAACTGTTTATCAGTGTTTATGTAGGAAATTCATGGCACCAGTAGGCTTGAAAATTTTCCGTCTTAACGCATTTAAAAAATTGAAAGAAACTAAGATTATCACTGCTTATCAAAGTTACATAATAAGTTTATTGCACACTTCTGAATAGAGAATTAGATATGTAATGGTGTCACTCTACTTACGCCACTCTATTCAGTGCCGGCGCTAGCAAATGAAGTGCCAGGGTGCGGGAACCGGAGTGGCGCCCCCCCCAAGCAAAATGCTGGGGAAAAATTAAAAATTCATTTTAATTTAAAAAAATATATATAATCAAAGAAATATAAATAAACTTAAAGAAGATTGGAATAATCATAATCCATACTTCAGCAAAAATTTAAGAATTATACTGATGAAAAACCAATCTTAACAGAATAATCGGGAATACTCTGGTCAGAAGGTTAATCTGCAAGAAAAAGTCTGAAATTGCAATAGTTACAAACTAGACTTCAGCAAAAAACAGGAATTACATTGTTCAGAGTCCACATGAAGTCTGAAATTACTGTTCAGAGAAAACAAAAAATTGATTATAAACCAAACATGATTTTTCATGGCAATACTTATGTGTTCAATAAAAGAATGCGAAGAATATGAACAAGATACCAATGGACTTGTCTTGTTATTGCACAGGACAGGAAATCACCAATACGGAAACTTTGCCAATGCAGGATAAGCACAAAAGCAAAGTAACAGCTGCAGAAATGAGGTACCGGGTGATACAAGATCCATATAGATAATAAGAGGCTCCCAAAAAGATCTACTGCTTCTAAAAAACTAAATACCGCTTTCTGAAGACTAAATAGATAGTGCTCTGGAAGATTAAATACTGCTTTCTGAAGACTAGATACTGCTCTGGAAGATTAAATACTGCTTTCTGAAGACTAGATACTGCCGACAGGTCTAAATACAGCATCTGGAACACTAAATACTGCTTTCTAAAGACTAAAATTGCTTTGTGGAGACTAAATACTGCTTTCTGAAGACTAGATACTGCCGACAGGTCTAAATACAGCGTCTGGAACACTAAATACTGCCTTCTAAAGACTAAAGTTGCTTTGTGGAGACTAAATACTGCTAACAGGTCTAAATACTGCAAAAGAAAGATAAAATATTTTGGAGAAAACATACATAACTTTGGCAGAAGAGTAGATACTGCTTCTAGAAGACTAAATACCGCTTTCTGAAGACTAGATACTGCTGACAGGTCTAAATACAGCGTCTGGAACACTAAATGCTGCTTTCTAAAGACTAAAATTGCTTTGTGGAGGCTAAATACTGCTTTCTGAGATTAGCCACTGCTGACAGGTCTAAATACTGCAAAAGAAAGATAAGATATTGTTGGAGAAAACATTAAAAAGGCGCCGGCGCCCCCTTTTAGGCGACGCCCGGGTGCAGTGCACCCCTTGCACACCCCGGTAGTGCCGCCTCTGACTCTATTTAAAATAACAAAGTTGCTGTCTACTTCCAGTAAAGATCAGAATAGATAACGATCATAATTTGATTTTCAAAGACCTATGATATCCGTGACAAAAGTCAAGACCCCTCATTATTGAAATTGCGTTGACATCAAAGTCTAGCACCCAACCCTCTAACCCTTTGGACGTAATTAGTGCCGAATTCAACAAATTTAAGTTGTTTGTACAAAATCATATACAGTGTGTCCCTGGATTGTGTCCCCGTAAGGTATAATTGACGATAAATTTTTGAATTCAAATGCCATCTTTTGCAATTAAAGTCTGAATGTCATAAAACGAAATATAACCAAGTTTTACGTCAAATGTCCTCAAAGTACCAAAGTTAACGCAAGAAGTTTGTTAACTGTTGCAGGTAAAGCGGCCTTTCTGAGCAATGTACAACAAAAGTTGATTAAGATAAAATGTTTGTTAGTCAAGAGATTGACAATTTAGAAAACTAGTCACGAAGAAATTGTCTTGTATTCCATGGAATCGAAGAGGGCGAGGAAATAGAGAAAACGGTTAGAAAGGAAGACGGAAAGCGTTAGAAAGGAAGGTTTTGGATGTTATGGCTTCTCTAAACGTTGCTGATTTTTCCCCAAGTATCGACATGATAGATAGATGCCATCGTTTGGGAAAGCGGGTTAAAGTTTAAAGGTTAAAGTTGGTTAAAGTAAATGTTTTGGAAATAATAACGTTTGGACGTCTGATGGACAAATTATTGTAAAAAATGGAAAAAGTTTTTATACCATCCTATTCCAGAGCGATTTTGAGGAGCTCAAGAACAAGATAGGGGTTCCAACTGTGGTGGAGGAAAAAAAATATTTACTACCACGAAAGCATAAAAAGTAATAGCTAAGTATTTATTATTGTGTTGTTATAATGGACTGAGTTTTGTTTAGTATGGTTATTCGAGCAGTTTTTTTTCTTTTTGCGCTGTTTTTTTTTGGTAGATTTGTATTTGAATAGCAATCTTTATTTATAAGTGCAACTGCTGCTAATATTTCTCCTCATTAAGTGAATTCACTTGCCTTTTGATTTTCTCCCAATTTTATTCTCTTTATCTTTTACTGCTTAAAAATAATATAAAGTAGTCATTCCATAACGGACCCCCTTCCTTTCAGTTGCGTAAATGTAATTACCTTGAAAATCTGCTGTTTTTCTTTAAATGTTTATGCTCATTTTTAAGTGTTAATGCAAATAGGCCATTTGAATACACGATCGCTTCCAGCTCACTTTGCTGCCGTTAAAAATATTTTGCAAACAGAATCGTATCCTCAATGATAAAAAGAATCAAAAAATTAACTTTCTTACGAAAGGAAACGATAACGTGGTGAACTTTCTTGGCTTGAAGTTGAACGATCGTCTCACCTGGGACGACCATGTGAGTGCCCTTTGTAGAAGACCCGCAGTTTTTATGGTGCGAAGATTGGTGAAGTGTACCGAACCTGAAGTAGTAAGAACAGCATATTTCTCTTGTTTTCATGCAGTGGCCTCATATGGCATCTCCATTTGGGGTTCGGGTCCAGGAATCAACAGGGTGTTTAAGCTACAAAAGAGTTGTATCCGCGCTTTGTGTAATCTAAAAAATTTAGAATCATGTAAAGAACATTTAAAAAAAATTGATATACTTACCGTGTCCTGCATGTACATCCTTACTTGTGTTAACCATGTACATAATAATACACATCTCTATGACATAAACTCCGTACATCACGAGTATAATACGCAACAAAAAGACTAGAAAGAAAGAAAGTTAATGACAGTGGACTAAAGATAATACGGACAACCACGAGAGTTTGGGTACTACTTAGAAGGTGTAGAGCTACAAATGGCACTTAAATACCATAAAGGAATTCAGAATCATAGAGGTATAGAATAGACTTTCGAATGTTTAAGGAGGCATTATTGGTGGAAAAAGATGCGAATAACTATAGAAAGAACAATTGCCAATTCCATCGCTTGTAAACGCTGTAAATATAATCAACATTCGGAAGTTCCTCTTCTGCCAATGACGAAGACTCCCGACGGCATTTTCCGAATTTAAGAAAAGTACTGCTAAATTGTATGTTATTTCAAATTATCAATAAGATAATAACTATTAACTTCTTATTAGTTAAATTAATCGTAACCAAAACATTATCAAAACTGCAAACATGTTATCAGACAATGTTTGAAACGAGTATACTTTTACAAGAGATGAAAAACATTCAAGAACTGAATTCGGAAAAAAATACCCTTACCAAGTAATGAAGACAATATTTATTCATTAGAAAGAATATTCACAGTTCTATTCTAGACGACATCCGTAATTAGAAGCCAATGGAGAGGGAACACCGGAAGAACCTCGCCAGCTTCCTTGTCTTCCACCTAAGAAGGAAGGTGTTACAAGAATTACTAATACATCCTTACGTCATCCTAGAGAGATAATTGGGAATTATAAATATCAGCTACAGGAGCAGTTTTCTATACATTTTTAGGGAACTCGCAGTGAAAAAAAAATCCTACTAATATAGTCAAAAGCTGCTGTGGTCACCTCGACGGTGACAACTGATGACAACATTGATCGTGTGGATCTCTTTTGTTACTTAGGAATTTATCTTACTAGCAATGGAAAGAAAAATTCAAAAATAAAATGGCACGTTCTTCTTGCTAATAGAACCTATGCAGCACGGCAGCACAGGAAAACACAGGAGCCTAACACAGGAGCCTAACACAGAAAACTGAGAATACAATTGACACATTCGAAAGAAGAATATTGAGGCGTATATTGGAATCAGCACAAGAACAGTGGATAAATAGAATATGGTATAATAATGAAATAATAATAAGAATAGCGCACTTGAATGTGCAATTCAAGTGCGCCCGCCCACTTTGCTGCTGTTAAAAATATCATATTGACTGAATCTTACGATATATTTGCTATGTCGGAAACTTGGATTTACTCTACTTCATGTCATGATGATTATTCAATTGCGAATTATAGACATATATTTATTGGTCGCTCGGGCCCGGATGTTCCTGAACATGGTGGTGGCGTCGGAATTTACGTAAAAAATGATTTTAAGTTTAACCACATTTTTAGCGAGGTTTTTCCCTTTGTTGAACAGTTATGGATCGAGGTGAGCCGTGGGGGACTGTTACTATCAGTTGGGGTTCTATATAGACCGGACGTCGATTTTGCGAAATTTTTAAACAATTTTGAAGACACCATGTCCAATTTGGTCCTGTTTGGGTGACTTCAATGTCAATGCTCTTGGCGCACAGGTGCTTACTGCAACCGTTTATTACCGGCTATTGAATCTTTTAACCTGAGTCAAATTATCTCATCTGCTACCCGTGTCACTGCTACATCGACTACAGTTATTGACTATGTTATTGTGGATATAGATGCTTCTGTAAATGATACAGGAGTCATTCCTGTGCATGATGTTGCAGATCATTGTTTG